TCAATAGAATTACCAATTTAATATAATCTTAACATAACGGTAAAACCCTCAATTATTCCAAAATCTAACTCCTAGGAACTTTTCTACAATTTCGTTCTCTCTCCCAGATCATCATTCTTACAAATTATTAGCATATTTCTAATCCTCAACACATACAGAATCTAGTGGGATCATCAATTCCTCAAACAAAAATAATCCAATTTTCTAAAACCTAACTTACAGGCACTTTTCTACAATTTTGTTCTCTCTCCCCGATCATCATTCTTACTAATTAAATATATATTTCTAATCCTCAACACATACAGAATTTAATGGGATCATCAATTTCTCAAACAGAAATAATTATAAAATTACTCATAATCTTAAGGAACTCTTCCTCTACTCAATTCCCTCATGTAACTCTACATACAAATAATCCCTTTTTCCTCGTACCTAGATAAAAATAGTTGAAACTAAAATAGAGATATCCTTGGTCTCCTCCTCTGAGTGCCCCTCGATCTTCAGAGAGTGTAGATTCAAAAGATTAACAATGATATTTTCTAAATCAATCTAATATCTCGTCACCTTTCTATCTTTTCGTATTCAACAACGAAACTAAGTTTGTGGGTTATTGAATGACGAAATATCCACACTGTGACCAAATCTTCCTTTTGTAATACTAATTTTTCTCTTAGACCCCAAGAACATTAGAGTGTGATTTTTTGTTGAGAGCAACTTAGAGTGCAAGAGACTAGTGGTTCTTGAAAATGGTTGGAGCTCAATTGATCCAGCTGTTGTAGAGTTCTCTATGGGATGCGAAGCATTCCGGGTTCGCGGTGTTGGTTGTCCGCCGTGTTCTTGTAGTTGGGGATTGCAAGCTTCTTGGTGGGTTTGAGCTTTGTCTTGGGCTCGCCAGCGGGGCTTTGTCCTCCCCTACGGGGATCGGTCCTTGGGCCGAGGTTAGTGACCCCCACGTGGTTGTTGTGAGCCACGATGGGGGGGGGTCCTGCTTGCTTTGCTCGCCAGACAAGGAGACCTTCAGACTCTCGACGTAGCACTACCGAGCTGTCTTCTGATTTCCTTTGACGGAGATGATCTTACCGTCGTTTCCTGGGAACTTCATGGTTAGGTGTGGAGTAGACACCACTGCTCAAAGATGATTCAATGTCGGCCTCCCGATGATGATGTTATAGGAGGTGTTGGCTTCCACAAGAAGGTATCGGACCATAATTCTCCTTGTGCCCGGAGAGGCTCCGAAGGGGGTCAGCAGGTCCAAGTATCCCCGTGTGTGTACTCGTTCTCCTGCAAAACCAACTAGGGGCTCTGTGTGAGGTTGGATGAGAGAGTGGGGGATGTATAACCTGAGGAAGGTTGGCCAATATAGAACGTCGGCCGAACCTCCTTGGTCAATAAGTGTCTTTTGAACTTCCCAGTTGGTTACTTCTACGGTGATGACCATGGGGTCATCTTGATTGGGGCTGACGCCAGCGTAGTCCTCGTCGGAGAAAGAGATCGGAGGTGAGCTCTGATGCGATGTCGAGGTAGCGGAGTGGACACTATTGATATTACGCAGGTGTCTCTTCCGGGCCGAGCTGGTGGCACCTCCCCCTACAAATCCGCCTGCAATCGTATTGATCACTCCTCGTAGGGGAGCTGATCCTGTCTTTTGGCCTATCTCGGCTTGCACTGCTCCGCCGACATTATGCTGAGAACTAGAGGGTTGGTCTGTGCGAGCCCCTAAACCACGGCCTCGGCCCCGTCCTCGTCCGCCATAGCCTCCTCGGTGACCTTGCTGTCGCTGGACATATTGGCCGAGGGGGCCTGCTTGGATGAGTTCTTCAATACAGTCTCGAAGTGAGCGGCACTCCTCGGTGGTGTGACCATGATTCCTATGGTACCGACAATGCTAGGATTTGTCGGTGCTGTTGGGGGTGTGCCCTGGCGGTGGTAGGGTGAGCAGATTGTTGTTACTGGCCTCCTCCAGGATATGTACCTTGGGCGTGTTCAGGGGAGTATAGAAGTCATATCTCCCCCCTCTATTCGTCTTAGCCGACTTCTTGAACTCGCTGTCATTATTGACTTTGACCTTGTCCTTGTGGCCACCGTCGGGTTTTACTTGTGATTTCCTGCGAACTTGGTCACGGAAAGCAGAATGTTCCTCCATCTGAATGTACCCAGCGGCACGAGCACGGAGGTCGTCCATATCGCGAGGTGCTTCACGACATAGGCTGTCGACGAACGGTCCAGGTTTGAGTGCCATGAGCATGGCGTGTAGGGCAACCTCGGGGTTTAGATTCCTGATCTTTACCGAGGTGTTGGTGAATCGCTCCATAAACGCCCGGAGTGGCTCGTCATCGTTCTGTCTGAGACTGGCTAAGGCGGCAGAGGTGATGTGGTGTGGTCGGCTCCTTGCATATTGTGCCGTGAACCGGCTGACCAGGGTGCCAAAGCTGTCAATGGACTCGGTTGGCAGCTGGGTGTACCAGTTGAGCGCGGCCCCTTTGAGCGAGGTTGGGAAAACCCTACACAGAATAGCATCATTGTTAGTGTAGAGGTTTACCTGTGTCGTATATAGGTCGATGTGCTCGTTTGGGTCTGTCGTGCCATCGTAGCGATCGAGGTGGAGAGGCTTCCACCCGTGAGGGAGTGGTGTCTCCATAATGCCATCTACGAAAGGGTGGCGGCAGAAGGTTGTCTGATCCCCTACGACATGAGTAGGAGCCCTGCTGTCTTTATTGGTCGGCTTGTGCATTGGTGCATGAGATCGGTGTGAAGCAGGTCTGGGGGTTGGGCCCCTAGTTGCAGTCTGGGGCTGGGAGACTAAGTGTGTCTCTTCCCCGTGGAGGTTGCTCGCCTGAGGCTGAGGATCAGAGGGACGCCGAGGGAGTTGAGCGCGAATACGCTCGTTCTCGGCGCGCAACGCCGCCAGGTCGGCTTCATTGGCGGTCCGCATTGTCGCTAGGTCGGTTTCATGCTTGGCGCGCATGTTGCGTAGATCGGCATCGTGTTGTTGTCGCATCTGTTCGACCTGGTCGATCAGTCTCCTTAATGTGGCTTCGTTATCCATGGCAGTTGAATGTTCTGCGTCGTCTGTTACGCGTCTACTATGGCTTCTGGTGAATACCATGAGCGTGGCCGATAAGAGCTTGTCTCAATCGGCCCCACGGTGGGCGCCAAATGTTCTTACCGGAAATCTACCGTAGAGATGATCTGCCGAGTAAGATTGGTGAGCCTCCTTCGCTGATACGTTGATGTTCCAAGATGGGGGTGGTACCTGCAAAAGAGACTCCGATGCTAAAGTTAGGGTTTGTGTGAATATGAGTCTCGTATAAATAATGCACGTACCTTAGTGTGAGTTAGGGTTGCGTTGGGCCTTGGGCCTAAGATGAGATATGATATGATTAGATAACGGATCTCATCTGGAGCGAGATCCCCTGAGATCGGTTATGATCTATTTAAGTGCCGATCTGACGTCACGCGACGCGTGCCCGAGATCGTCTTATGTTGTGATGCCGAGCTGGGAGCTCGGCTCTGGAGTGTGGATAGTACATATAGTATGAATTTCTTCTACCATTTAACAATATATTTTATATTTAACATAATTATTAATTTACACACACACATATAAATATAAAATATATTGTTAAATGGTAGAAGAAATTCATACTATTTGCATCTTCATTTGCTTAAATGTATTGAGTATGGTATTTTTATTTTGTAGAATATTATGTATTTTTCAATTAAATATTTTTTATGACATTAAAATGATTTATAAATATAGTTTTATTTATGTCTAATATAAATTTTGCATTATACTTATTTTTTATTTTATTATTTTATTCTTATTTAATTTAAAAATGTTTAACTAATATTTATTTAGTAAAAGAAAGTTTCATGCACAGTTACTTTTTAGTTATTATAAAAAAAAAGGTGTCATGACATGGGATAAAAATACAAAATTATTTATGTTAAGGATAAGTTAAAATACAAAATTGAACCTAAAAAAAAGTGATCGAATTTAAATAAAGACACTAAACTCTGAATCCTAAATCTTAAATATAACATATATTTTAAGTTACCAAATTGTCTAAAAGATTTAAAATTATAAGTTTTAAATATGTTAGTTAAAAAAAATCACTAAAATGATTAAGAGATTTTTGAATCGGTTTTAGTATAAGATAATGCAATTTCAAGAATTATGGACCTATTTATAAATTTTTTCATCCTCACACAAAAATACTTCTTGACGAAGCTTCTTCTTGATATAATTATTTAATTTTTTCTTTATTATTATTTTTTACTTATTCTCTGAGTTTACTTCATCTTTCATTTTGTAGTTGGATAAGAGTGTAATAATTAGTATATAGATGATAATTTGTTCATTAAATAATAATATGTAACATGCAAGATATTATATTCTTATTATTTTATATTAAAATAGGAATCATATTATAGTACACTTTACTTATTGATAAATTTAAAAATTAATATATAAAGCTATAATTATATCTTCGTTAAAAAAGTAATATATATATATATATATATGTGTAAATTAATAATTATGTTAAATATAAAATATATTGTTAAATGGTAGAAGAAATTCATACTATTTGCATCTTCATTTGCTTAAATGTATTGAGTATGGTATTTTTATTTTGTAAAATATTATGTATTTTTCAATTGAATATTTTTATGACATTAAAATGATTTATAAATATAGTTTTATTTATGTTTAATATAAAATTTGCATTATATTTATTTATTATTTATTATTTTATTCTTATTTAATGTAAAAATGTTTAACTAATATTTATTTAGTAAAAGAAAGTTTCATGCACAGTTACTTATTAGTTATTATAAAAAAAAGGTGTCATGACATGGGATAAAAATACAAAATGATTTATGTTAAGGATAAGTTAAAATACAAAATTGAACCTAAAAAAAAATAAAATTAGTGATCGAATTTAAACCTAAATAACTATTAATTCCGTCTCAAAGAATGACGATAGAGAGAGAGAGAGAGAGAGTGGAGGTATAAGTATAAGAATAACAACATGGCTTGAAAACTGAAAGCGAAGTGCCTGGCTTATGGGAGAACCAAGCGAAACGACTGTGTTCCTTAGGGTTTACAGTGCAGTGTTACTTCACTGAAGCAGCGTGGCTAGCATTCAATTGATGAGGGTGAGGGATCTGAAGGCTGTTGAATTCGCTGTTTGTTTATCTGTCTTAATGTTTTGGGTAATTGTATGTTGTATATTTGTGGTTAGAGTCTGGGAAGCATTCGGAGCTATGCAAAGCATCTTCGCATAAATGGGGTCAAGGATACCATAGCCATCGCCTCTGCCAAAGGTGGTGTGGGCAAGTCCACTACTGCTGGTAAAACCCTTTCATATTTTATTTTTCCTTCACATTCATGTTTGGATGGGTTTCTCCGTGTGCTAATTCTAATTAACTTCAATAAGGGCATGCTTGATTAAGCTTATCGTAAACCACGTATAGGAGAGAAAAATAGGAAGAAAATATGAAATAAGTTTTTTAAGCTAAAACTAAGTTATGCACAAATTTAAAACAAGATTTTGGAGAAAGCTAACAGGGGAGAATTTCTACAAAATAGCTTATGCTTAAGCTAATTTTAGCTTATAGAGAAGCTAATTTCATCTTTTCTTCTTATTTTCTCTTTTATAAATGTTTCTGGAGATGTTTATCTGAGAAGATCCTAATGCAATTTGTGGAGCAGTGTGTGAGTTTTTGTAAATTCCTGGTACCTAGTTTAACTTTGAATCATTAAGCTAAAATCAGCTGTTTGGAGAAGCTAAAATCATTAAGCTAGGAGTGCCGTTTAAACTTTGAATTGAATTGGCAGTTAATCTGGCTGTTGCACTTGCAAGTAAGTGTCAACTTAAGGTTGGTTTGCTTGATGCCGATGTATATGGACCCAGCATTCCCACCATGATGAACATCAATACAAAGCCTGAAGCCACTCAAGGTACATCATTTCTGTCTTTTCATGGAAACAGTCATCTTCAGTGGTGGTGAATGGTGATAATGTCAAAGCAATATGAGTTGTATGATTTAAGCTTAGTTTTGTGGTTAAGGTTCTTCCAGCTTCCTTTACAGTTTATGCTAATATCTTGTTCATTTATTTTTAGATAAGAAAATGATTCCAATAGAAAATTATGGGATCAAATGTATGTCAATAGGGTTCCTTGTGGAGAAGGATGCTCCAATTGTCTGGAGAGGTCCCATGGTATGCCTATAATTACTTTTCTTTTTAGTGTTCTCTTTGGTTTACTATTTCTTGCTGTAACTGTCTTCTGCAACTTGCAACTTTAGTTGTTTCTTGGGACTTGGGATATACTATGAAGGATTTCTTATTGAATACATGTTCTTGCAAAAATCCACGTCTGTTGTTCTTTATCTGAATTTCTATTGCTGGATTATTTTAGGTATCAAATGCACTTGAGAAAATGACAAGGGGAGTTGACTGGGGTACTCTTGACATTCTAGTGATGGATATGCCTCCCGGCACTGGTGATGTCCAGATAGCTATGTCTCAAAATCTGCAATTATCAGGTAGTTAGCCACTTAGGAATTAGGAAGATAGTTATAGTCAGAGACTCTTTTTGGGGATAACCTGTGGGAGAAGTTTAAAAAGCAACTTTGACAAACAGATTGAACCTTCACTCTGACTGGCTTTATGCATGTAGTTTTTTTGGTTCTCGTCTGCTTAATATATGCAACAAACTATACTTGAAGATTGTGGCAAGACAAGTTTACCATGCTCTGTTAATTCAGAATTGAAACATTTTCAATTGAATATTATTTGAGTTATAATTTATAAAAGTTTAATTAAATCAATCAAAGATAAAATTGAACAAAGTATCATGATATCTAGTATTTCTTACTATAACAGTATTGCAAATATTCCTTCATATTGACATTTTTTTAACTAGTTTCTGTACAGTCAGTTTTCTTTGGTTATTCATTTTCATGGCTGCTTGTATGGTAGGTGCGGTGATTGTTTCAACTCCTCAAGATGTTGCATTAATGGATGCCCGGAGGGGAGTAAAAATGTTCAATAAAGTTGATGTTCCGGTATGATAATCACTTGGTGCACTTGCTTTCTTACATGTTTATGAGATTTTGAGTAATATACACGTGTATACATTTCTGTTCATGTTCAACACTCTATCATTTGTTATGTGCATATAGTAAGATAGCATTGTGCTGTCATTTGCATGGTTTTTGAGCCAGTGGCACACCAGCACTCAATCCTTAATAGGTTCTCTGAAATCTCAGTTTTGTTGAATTAGTAGATTGCATTTGGTTGGAATCAGTGTGAGGCATTAGAGTGAGTGCTATGCTTTTAGAAATCATAATAGCTTATTTCGGTAAATTATTTATGATGCTAAAATTGGTCTGAATACAGACAAGAAGCGTATCTTGTATCCAAGGTCTGGTGGAAGCATATAAATTTATGCTTATATGGCCTGTTTTCATGCTTGTTTTTTTAGTTTTTTTTTTTTTAAATTTCTGAGCACTTTTGTGTGCCAATTAGGATGCTAAGAATAATATCCACGATGCCTACCATTGATATATTGACCATTACTTTTTATGACATGGCGTTTCGTGTATAATCTATAAACTGTGAATGCGTCCTACCTTTGATGTTCATTCATATGTGAATTCGAACTGTCCTTACAGATTTTGGGAATTGTAGAAAACATGAGCTGCTTTAAGTGTCCACATTGTGGTGAACCTTCATACATATTTGGTAAAGGAGGGACTCATGGGACAGCCTCCGAAATGGGATTAGAATTTTTAGGCGAGGTATGTTGATTATCTGTATGTAGATTGTACTTTTAAAATTATAAATTTTTTTGATACTTAATGGGGACTTTATTGAATGAAGCAATTGGACAGGTTTCTTAGTTACTTAATGATGGATCTTTAATCTTTTTATAATTTTTATGCGACCACTAACTGATCACTTTTTACTTTTCTTTGATGTTGCTATACGATTTCTTTGTGCATGAAGAATATGCGTGTTTAATAATTTATTTATTGGGTATTTCTGACAAGTTTTCAATTTAATAATTATTCCAGATACCACTGGAAGTGGAGATCAGAGAAGCTTGTGATGAGGGGCACCCTATAGTGTTGGCCGCACCAGATTCAGTAGTTTCCAGAGCGTATGGCGAGTTAGCTGAGAAAGTTGCTGAGAAACTCAAGAAACAACAGTTCCAACCAGAGATAATACTATGAAATGCATTTATTTAATTAATTAATAAAAGAAGAGCGAGCTAATTTCCCTGATGCTTTGTATACAGGATTTTACTTATTTTAAAATTTGTTAAAATTTACCAGATATACACCCGGCACTAGATTTAGAATTGTGGTAGTTGTAGCTAGAGCAACATCTTGTCAAAGAGAATCTGCGGTTCTGGACCAACTAGATGTGGTAGTTTCTACGCAAGGTATGGCATGGCTATGTGGAATATGTTCTTAAATGTTGAAAAGAACATGAGGGGATTTTTTATTTTGAGGTCCAAACATGAGGTGAATTCAACATTCATCTTATATATCAACCCCTCATTGTGGCCGCCTATATGTTTGTAATAATCTTAGCATAAATGATGATACTTATTTGACTAGGATTCGTTTGGCATTGTCTAGTTGAACATCAGTCACAAGGCTGGTCAACCAACCAATCGAAAGAAACTGAATATCTAGCCTCAACTTTTTGGAGAACTTGGAATATAAGACTATTTGCGATTTCTATATTACATGTTTTACCGACGTTGAAGGCGTGTTTCTTTTTCTTACTTAAAAAGGGAAATATGAAGGGGACTTTGTATTCACCTCTACTTTTATGCTTGTGTTAATATTTACGGTTTTCGGGGTTGGATTTTTTTCTTCTTCCTATTCTATGGTCCCTCGAAAGAAGATAAATCCTCTTTCTATTTTATTTCTTTCATATTTCAAACACAATCGAATCACAAACTCGTATGGATCTCTCGTTGATATTAACATCAGTCATGTTTATTTTTTTTTCCCACTTTGTTCTTTTGCAAATATTCACGATTTTTAGTGATGCATAACCAAATGGTGGGATCTTGGAAAATAATAAACATTACTTTTTAATAAATAAAAATATCTGTTACTTGAAAATATCAAGAAAATTAAAGAGTATATGATTTATATATCGCTTATCCATGACTCATTTAGTGTAAATGATAAATGTGACGTTTATTGAATGATTGGGTTATTTCTCCTTTTATCAAATGGATTTATAATTGGTGGGGTAATAACTAATAATCAATGTGTAGGTTTATCATGCCAGCTAAGCTTCTTCAATATTTTACTATATATTTACCAATCAAATTGTAAATTGCCAAATGTGCGTTAATAAGGCCAAACTTACAAGTTTATCTTAAGTAATATTTTATTTTATATATTTCTAGAATAAATGTTTATTTTTATAATTAAAATTATAATAAATAAGTATTTTAATATATAAATCATATTTTAGATTTATAATAAATTAATTTATAATATTGATAAAAAATTTTAAAAAGTTAAAACAAAATTTAAAAATTATACTCTTGTTGAATCAATATTTTAATAGTGACATTTACTTTAATACTCGATCTTAGGTTAACATAACTTTTAAAGTAAGATTGACTTGGTTGGCGTCAACTCTTTAAATTTTGAAAGGAATATTTTACTTTTATTGAAAGATATAAAATTAGGAAATAAAGTATAAGTTGCGAGTCACTCTCGATAAGATAAAAAATATAAAATATTTAAAATATAATAATTTTAAGATTAAAGAACATCAGATAGATTAATAAACACAATTCATTACGAATATTCTAGTGATAGTACTTCAAAAAAATATAGATAAAAAATAATAAATCGAAAAAAATATGTAATCAAGAATTGGAGAATATTAAAATTTATTCAAAAATATTTTCATGATACTTGGAATTGAATTCTAAACCACTTATATATATTTATTTAGGGCCTAGGATAAAAGAAAAATGAGTAGATAAGGGTATAAGATAGAAATAAAAAATAAAGGTTATTTATTATATGCATGATAGACAGAAGAAAATCGAATAAATAATTAATATAAATGATAAGAAAATAACAAAAAAAGTGCTGTATAACATACGTGAGACCTGCAGGATATAAACAAGAATTGTCATTTGTTGGGTATAAAAAAGGCAGATACTTGGATTGCAATAGCAGTAGTGATAGCTATCTTGAAGGTGCACCGAGCGAGCGTCACTGAAACGTGGCTGAATGCCTCTCAAAACCCTGAAATCCCCGATCCCCCACCACCATGGATATGGATACGGACCCTCTAAACCAAAACCAAAACCTGGGTTCACCCTTTTCCCTCTGAACCGCACATTCGTCTGTTGCAGAGGCCTCGAAATCGCCGTCCCCAGACCCTCGTTTCACTCCAACGTTGGACCCAATTCGAAACACGTGGACGTTGCCACCTTGAGCAACCTCTGCGTCGACATCGTCCTCAATGTCCCCCAATTGCCCCCTCCCTCCCCTCTTCAGCGCAAGGCTTTCATGGACCGCTTGGCCCAGTCTCCGCCTGACAAGGTTCTCTCTCTCTCAGTTATTCACCCTTCAAACAAAACCTAACTTTGTGCTGTAACACGATTAATTTGTGGAGTGGAGTCCAGAATATCCTCCCACCCCATGAATGAAACTGTACAAGCTCTGTTGTCATGGCGTTAGATGCTATTACTGTTTCTTCTCATTCTCCACTCACATGCAAACGTATTATCTTAGTTTTTATTTTTATTTTTATTTTTTTTAACCCCTATGGGTAGTGTCCACGTTTGGCTCCTGCACGATAAGTCTCACTTGGGAATGGGATGGAAGAGCTTATTTACAGCTTCTTCGGAACTGTCTTATGGTCTAAGTTCTTGTGCAAGTGTTTGCCAGAGTTTATATGGAAATAGCATATGATAAGGGCCTATTTGAAAAAACTTATCTATAGACACTTTAGAAGAAGAAGAAGAAGAAACTAACAAGGTTTGAAGGTTGAAGACTTCTACAAATTAGCTTAGCTTATGCATAAGTTGGTTTTAGCTTTTAGAGAAGCTAGTTTCGTTTTTCAGGACTGTTTGGATATACTTCTTCAAAAGAACTTCTAAAAGAGGAGAATAGGAAGAAAAATGGTCCGTTTGTTTAAACTTTTTTTTATTAAAATAAGCAGTTTTCTGCTTTTTCTTAGAAGCAACTCCTATCTGATTTTAAAAGAATTGCTATTTTAAAAAAGCACTTGCTTAGAAGTTTTCATGGAGAAGTTTGTTCAAGCAGACCCTAATTGTTATTTTCCTCTCCTATAAGTGCTTATGGAGAAAATTATCTAAACAAACCCTAAGTTGTTTTCAGCTTATTTCAATAAGATTTCCAGGACAATTTGTGAAGACAGCTTACAGCTTATATGAGAACAATTTTAACTATTTGTTCAATTATAGAAACAGCTTATGCATAAGTACTTACATGATAAGTACGTGTTCAATAAGTTCTTAATTAAGTTGTTTACCCAATCAAAGTCTTAAAAACTGATATTTAAGTGGTAAGTGGTCATTTTTGCAATTCCCCCCCTTTTCTGTCCTGTTCATATTTCATATTTATTTGCTGCAAATGGTTGTATTTCCTTAGATGATCCTATGGTTTTTGGTGTAGAAATATTGGGAAGCTGGTGGGAACTGCAATATGGCTATAGCAGCTGCAAGGTTAGGACTCGACTGCATATCAATTGGTCATGTGGGTAATGAAATCTATGGGAAGTTTCTGTCAGATGTGCTTCATGAAGAGGGCATTGGTTTGGTTGGGATAGTTACTAATGACGATATCATCAACATCTCTAATGGCAATAGTGCCTCTTATGAAACTCTTCTATGTTGGGTTCTTGTTGATCCTTTACAAAGACACGGTTTCTGTAGGTAAAAGTCATTTCTCTTCTAATTTGTATTGTTTCTATCTGGTGGCAATTATTTGTTCTTATGTTTCTGTCTATGAAGACCTAACTAAGCATGTTTTCTCAATTAGTCGGGCTGATTTTAGCAAGGAGCCTGCATTTCCTTGGATGAGTAAATTGTCCAGTGAAGTTAAAATAGCTATTAAAAATTCAAAGGTCTTGTTCTGTAATGGATATGGCTTTGATGAGCTCTCTCCTGGTGCACTACTCTCAGCAATGGAATATGCTGTTGAAGTTGGCACATCTATCTTCTTTGATCCTGGACCACGTGGAAAGAGTCTCTCCACTGGGACCCCAGATGAACAAAGAGCTCTTAACCAGTTCCTGAGAATGAGTGACGTTCTTCTTCTAACTTCTGATGAGGTTTCTTTTAGATCTCTCCTCATATTGCATTTATACTTGATAGTTATTATGATTGCCTATAGTTGTCTGCTTCAAGCTTTAGCTATACTGTTTCTGATATGGTGTTGTATTATTACTCTTTTCATTGTTTTATAAACTAAAAATTCTCCTTGTGTGTTGCATTTGAGCTATATATTGATGTTTGCACTTTGCATTTAGATGCATGGAAATTACTGCATGTTTATCTGTCTCCATCTCTCAGTTTCTTGTTTTGGTAATAAAGACTTTGTAATCATATTCTGTGTTTTTGAGCACCTTCATAACCTTATGCTGTGTTTCCACCATTCCTCCTAAGTATGGACAGTTGGACATATTTTGTTTGTTTTTCCAACTTTTTATGTATGTTGTATACATTTCTACTTGCATATTTTTGGACCCTTTCACCTTGCCAAAGTATTTTGTCCAACAAACTGTATCATTCCCGAACCTTTAAAAGTATTGTATAGTTTTGCAAATTTCAATATCCTTCACTTGTTGCTTCCAACGTGGATAGCAGATATCACATGAAACATTTGGAAGTATGCAGAAAAAGATAATCTGTCTTTCTCAGGTTTTTATTCAAAATATGGCAGGATGTCTGCATGCAGGACCAAATTAAGCCTACCTAATTCATAATCATTAGCAGGTTTTTACAGTCCAAACCCATACATACTGATCAATGATCACAGTCCTTTTCCACATGCCCACCAGATATCTCACTGTCATCTGTTGCTACTCCCGTAACTACCATTTCCCCTACTGTACATCTTGGTTATGGTAGGGTTTTTATCACATTATTATTTAGTGGCTTTGTTTCACTTGAACCGCATATTTGAAATTAAGTACATATTTCAAAAGTTAGTCCTGATGAACAAGTTCAAACCGTATTTTCCTTTGTCTAATTTGTCAACTATTTCCATTCTAACTTTTCCTATCACTATACCAATCTTATTCTACATTCTTTGGTGGATGAGCCAAGTTGCTGGCAGCTTTTGAACCAATCTAGTTGACCACCGCAGACCTCAAAGGATGTCCCATTCAACAACTGAGATGGTTTTGGTTGGTATAACTCTAAATCTCTCTACTTGTATAGCTGAATCTAAACCTTGTTTCTAAATTGACTTCTCGTCTGTCACTTCTGTTTTCTTAGAAACTATCTCTACCTTCTGAATCTTCCTCTACTGTAGAATTGCTAGGAAGATGGCGAATAACTTGATTTTACCATTAGGTGGTAGCTTATAAGCATGCATGTAGCTCCATGGATTGTTCACAATCCATTCATGTTTCCAAACTGCCTCAGGTCTGCCATTTCAAAGTCTCATATTTTAGTAAAGTTTGAACTTGTGGCAACCTGGTGCTGACTCTAGAAAGACTTGATTCTATCTTTATTAATGAGGCATCTAATATTACAAATTCATAGGCTTGAGTTGATCTGATTGTATAAATCCTGCAGTAACTTTTACTTCTGTTTTAAGTCCATTTGTTTTCAAATATCAATCTTTGTGCCTAAGCAAAATACTATTGGAGCTTGCATTTTGGGTGAGATTTGGCCGGGCAATCTCATAAGTCATGTATAGAATTAGAAGATATTGGTTTTCTCTTCTTCCCATAAAACAATTATGTAATGCAAATTAAGGTAGCTTCACTAAGTACTTTCTAATTTAATGACATTGTTCATTTTATCGTTTTGCATGACAGGCTGAGTCCTTAACTGGCATAGGAGATCCAGTATTAGCAGGGCAGGAGTTGCTCAAAAGAGGGATCCACACAAAATGGGTGATTGTAAAAATGGGTTCTAGGGGTTCGATTCTAATAACGGCTTCAAGTATAGCTTGTGCACCTGCATTCAAGGCATTAGCTGCTCATTCTAATTTCTTCTTCATTGCTTCCATTAAATTCTTGCAACTTTGGAATCTGATTAGTTTTCACTTTACATACTGCTATTCTGCTTAAAAGTGCTATGACCCACTTTGCTATTCAGAGAATTATAGGTATTATTGGATTAAGGTGAAATTTTCAGTTGAAGACAAATTACTGAAAAGATGGAAAATTAAGGCTATAACCACGTTTTATGAAATACCGTATCTCAAAACAAAAATGTCATCATGAGCATTGCTTGTGATTTCTTCAACTGGAAGTCCCCCTCCCCCAACACCCTCACATTCACCTGAACATGCATTTCTAACACCCTAATATCAAAGGAATAGCCAAGCTTAAGTGTTTGGTATGCTCTAAGTATATGTTGTTATTTATTAAACGTGTGTTTAATAAACTCATTGGATTTCTAAAATGTTATCAGGTGAACGTTATTGACACTGTTGGGTGTGGAGACAGTTTTGTAGCTGCTATTGCCTATGGTTTTATACATAATATGCCACTGGTTAATACATTAGCAATTGCAAATGCAGTGGGTGCTGCAACAGCCATGGGCTGTGGTGCTGGAAGGAATGTAGCGACACTGGAAAAGGTGGTACATATATTACGATCATCAAACCTCAATGAAGATGATGAATTTTGGACTGACATACTTGAAAAGAATGTGGTAGCTCAGGAAATAACATATCTGTCAAACGTGATGAACGGAAACCAAAATCAGTTCAATCTTGTCCCATTTGACAAGGTTGTCTCTGAGCTCTTGCCCAAATTTGAACTTCCACAGACAGTGGGGAGTGTTCCGACTTGATAGATTGTAGAAAAATGGATTGCAGCCAGTTATATCCATTGACGTGAAAGAACTCTTCTGATTCTCGGGTTCTTTGCTTCTTCATGTAAAAGTAAACCAAAAAAAAAAAAAGTCAAGCATCAAGATCGCAGAGATTTATCTCTCAACAGGGTTACATAAATTGCTTTGAGCAAGTACATGAAAGGTAGCTAGCTTCTCATCAAGCATTTTCACTGAATTTTGGCATTTAAGTCTCAACAATATTCCTTTGATAACAAAGATATTTTTACTTTCTGAACTGGTGTGACGGAGCTGTTATCCTCTGAAATACCAATTTGTTGCTTCATTTTTTTTTTTTTTTGGCATGAATGCTTCTCAGTGATATGTAATAGTCTCCATATTTTCTTAGTTGATTGTTGTCACAGGGAAAAGCTGTTTGTTTGTATGACTTCCAATATTTGCGTAGGGATCACTCTACATTAGCTTTTCTATGTTTCTCCCATTTTTAGAATATTTTTTCTCCAAATTTAGATACAATGATGTGACAAATGTTCTCTGTTTACGACCAGCCACAACAATGGGTTTTTGAATGCTTTAGTCTTTTTATATTTGCTAATTTTGGTTGATTTTGTTTGTGGTTAGGATGAGTAGTTTTGCCACAAACCAGTGTTTTAAAAACTGGCTCCGACCCGGAACCAGTCACCAAACCGATCTGAGCCCCTTAATGGATCAGACATGCATTTAACCTGGTGTGAACTGGCTGTTTTCCGGTCGAACCACAGCTTGAGGCGTGTTACATTGATAATGTGCTTTTTACTTAACTAGGAGGGAAAAAAAAACAAAAACAAAAAGACACTACGCTTGTGTGAAAAACAAAATTAATGATTTTTTTTTATAAAAAAAAGTGGGTAGTTATTATTTTTAAAGAGGACAGTTATTTTTTAAAATAAAATGCAACATAATGGTTATTTGTTTCTTAAAAAAGTGGATATTAGGAGTATTCTTTTTTACATTTAGGGTATAAAAGTTTACTAAAAAGTGGAGACAAAAAAAGTAATTAGTAAAATGTATCACCTTTATAATAGTTATATATATTATAAATAAAAAGAAACTAAATGTAATTATAGAGACTCGACGCCCACAAAGGCTACAGCCTACATTGTAAATCACTTAATGAAGTTTAGTTCAAATCTGGCAAATAATATATATATATATATATATATA